CAACAAATATTTGGATCAAGTGATACGGATGGATGGAACGAATGGAGTAAGAGGGACTGAAGAATCATGGCAGCAGGCAAAAATCCTGGAAGTGGCCATGGGGAATCTTTCTCTTGGACCAATCTGTAAGGGTTCTGAGAGAAGGTGTAACACTGATGATAAGGTGTTTTATCTCACCTCACAGCCAGGCATGAAGTATATTCCAGAGATGGACGAGTTTCTATTAAGTTCAAGACGATGGAAAGATATAATGAAGATATCTAAAGATGAGGGAGGGGAATGGTGAGATGGGAGAGGGAAGCAGTGGTCCAAAGAGCACAGTGAAATGAGGAGGAAGAGGAGAAAAAAGACTGGAAAAGGGAAAGGACCGAACTGGAGAGGTATTAGAATATGCGGAATGGAAATAGGAGAAATGGGGTTTGGCCTCAGTAGGGGGGAATTGAATCAAGGGGATTAAAGAAGCAGGGGTTGAGGGTTTGCCAGCCTCAAGGGAGGTAGCAGTCAATGTATCAATGCCTTCCTTGTCCTGTGTCCAGTGATGGTAGACTATGGAAAAAAGAACACAATAAAGGCAAAAACAGGAAGTTGGGGGTGAGGACCTTAAGGAGTCATTTAGTCCCCAGGAGAGAAGGGAAGCTGAGGGAATTCCTGTACATGTTAATGAAGGTCTTGTTCTGTTATTTATTTGCTACTTTGTAGTATTATTTACCTTTTTTATGCTTCTTGTTACCACAAGTAGATTATAACTCTCTCAAAGGTAGGGAGCATGTTAATACCTAGTATAATCCCTAATACATAGCAGGTGTGATCAAATACATCCCTATCATAAGCCAAAAGGAAACATAATAAAAATTACCCTTTTATTGTTAAAAAAAAAGGTAGGTAATAAATTATAATAATAAATAAATTAATAATATTGATGATCCATAAGTTTAAGATAATTCCAGGTAGAGGAAGAAGAAAATTAGGAAAAAAAAAACCCTCAAATCACCTTTTATGCAATTTTAAAGACAGATGATGCTCAATCTCCTTGCAACATTTAATAACTTTCCTACCCCAAGGTTTTTCAAGATAGTTCTACATTCTCTGCTTTCTGAAGGTACAAAGAATAAAACTGCATGTTTTTTTCACCTACACCACTAGCCTTGTCATTGAGAGAAATAATGCTTTACTTTTGTTAAGTCTAATTTTGCTTCACATAATCTAGGACGCACTAAAAAAAAGTAATGGAGAACGCTTCATATCAATAACTAACTGAAAAGAAGTCATTACAAAAGGAAGGCTCAGGAAATCTATGACAAGCTACGGTGTTCTATGGAAACTGCAAAATAGAGATGGATTGCAAATTAGAAGGGAAAGAAAAGGATTTAAATGAGAATTTTCACACCAGAGCAAATGATAAGTCACTGAAAAGGAACTGGGAACAGATTCCCTTATGAAAATGCAGCACTAATAATGACCAACCTGATAGCCAGCATTTTCCACTACCTCTTGTGTCACACTATCAGTATCTGGGTTTTTAATAATGGAGGCTTTTTCAGAGTTGGGTCTCTATATCTGTCTGACTCAATGATCTCATAATCCTTTGGCCACAAGACAAACACCCAAGGAACTGACTGTGCTATTAAAAGTTTGGTTTTCAACTATGCAGGATCAAGAACAAAATTACTCAGGAAATTGTAAGCAATTGTTTGCTAAAAAGAGCTCTAATCGACAATAAACCTCACAAAAGAAAATTAGAAAAAAAAATACATAAGAGGAAAATAGATTGTTTTGACCGTTCCCTGCTGAACCTTTTTTGCTACTTTCTGGATTGCACACAGAACAAGCAGTACCCTGAAATGTCACACTCAATCAAAAACTGAATAATGCTCCCTCAAGTTCTCCCTGACAAAAAAAAAATATATATATATATATATATATATTTCCCTAAAATCAGATTTTTACAATACTGTGTGTCTAATGCTATGGGAAACATTGTTAAAAGACAAAGGGAAAATGCACATTTGTTCTTTGATGCTTTTAAAAAAGCAAATTTTTAGGTCTTACTAAAATGGGAGGGGGAGAAGCAGCTACCTTTCAAATCTTAAGTTCTACTGAATATAAAATATTATACTTTCATGTTTTTCAGCAATAATGCTTGCTATTGATTATCGCTCCTCCTCAGCCTCCTTTGCTGGATCCTCATCCAGATCATGTCCTCTAACCACAGGAGTCCCTGTCCTGAGCCCCCTTTCTCTTTTCTTCTCTTCTCCCTCAATAATACTTTACTTGGTAATCTCATCAGTTCCCAAGGATTTAATTATCATCTCTATGCTGATGATTCTCAAATCTACCTTTCCTGCTGACCTCCAATCTTACCTCTCCAATTGTCTTTCACTGTTGTTTCAGAATTTTCAGTCATGTCTAACTCTTTGTAACCCTATTTGGGGTTTTCTTGGCAAAGATACTGGAGTGGTTTGCCATTTCCTTTTCCAGCTCATTTCACAGATGAGGAAACTGAGGCAAACAGGGTTAAGTGACCTGCCTAGAGTCACACAGCTAGTAAGTATTTGAGGCCAGATTTGAACTGATGAAGATGAGTCTTCCTGATTCCTGGCCCAGCACTCTATCCACTTCAACACCTAGCTTGCCCATAATTGCCTTTCAGACATCTCCAACTGGAGGTCCAACAGACATTTTAAACTCAACATGTCCAAAACTGAACTCATGATCTTTTTCCCAAACCCTCCTACCTTCTCTATTATCATAGAGGGTAACACCATCCTCCCAGTCTCTCCAGCTCATAACATAGGTGTCATCCTTCCACTCCTCACTATTTCTCATCCTGCTCCCTTACTTCATATCCAATCTGTTAAGAAGACCTGTCAATTTCACCTCTCCTCCGACACTACCACCACTCTAGTGCAGGCCCTCATCATCTCATGCCTGGACTATTGCAATAGCCTGCTGGAGGGTCTACCTGCCTCAAGTCTTTCCTCACTCCAATCCATCCTCCATTCAGCCACTAAAATGATTTTCCTAAAAGGCAGGTCTGACCATGTTACCCTCAACCCCTTAAATAAACTTCTTTTCACCTCCCGGATCAAATAAAAAATCCTCTGCTTGGCATTCAAATCCTTTCGTAACCTAATCACCTCCATCCTTTCTGTCTTCTTACACCTTACTCCACAACACATAACTCTTCGATCCAATGACAATGGCCTTCTGGCTGTTCCATGAACAAGCTATCCCACACATCTCTCATCTCTAGGCATTTTCTCTGGCTGCCCCCCATGCTTGGAACACTCTCTTGGTTTCCTTTAAGTCCCAACTAAAATCACACCTTCTATAGGAAGATTTCCCCAAACCCTATTAATTCTAGTACCTCTATCATTTATGTTATTCCCTCTGTTAATTATCTCCTATTTATACTGTATACAACTTACTTTGTACATATTTGCATGCTGTCTCACCCATTAAATTGTAAGGTCCTTGAAAGGCAGGGACTGTGTTTTGCCTCTTTTTGTAACCCCAGCATTTAGCACAGTGCCCAGCACACAGTAGGTGCCTAATAAATGTTTACTGACTAATAAAGAACATAAATGGAATGGTTTGACTCAAAGTCCATCCACAACACTGGTGGTATTATTTAATTTACTTTCACCAAGGAGACTTTATCTTTGGAGATTGGAGGGGAGGGTGTGTGTGTGTGTGTGTGTGTGTGGCTGGGTGTGTGTGTGGGGGGACAGTTATCCTTACTTACACTACCTATAATAGGGTGGTTGTGAAGAAAACTGCTTTGTCAAGTTTGGAGTGCTATGTAAAATACATTATTATTTAAAATGCTGACATATTAATTAAAAACACTGGGTGTCCCCCCCCCCCCATGAACACTGTAATTCTGGCTTAAAAGTCATGGAAGCACACAGCATTCACTAGCTACTCCTTGCCACTGAAGTGTTTTGGAATATCTAAATCCTGTCTCTAAAGCAGATTATTTTGGAAGAAGCAGTAGCCTTGATATCAGCAGACCTTTGTTAGACTCCTGGCTCTGCCACTTACTTATTAGTTGTATGACTAAAGGCAAATCACTTAATCTCTTGGAGATTCAGTTTTCTGCAAAATGAGGAGATTGGATAAGAGTGTTCAAGGTCCTTCCTAACTCTGGGCATTCTGAAATGGATTTGTCTCAAACAGGGATCAAATTAAGTCTAATAATAACAGCTAACATTTATATAGTGCTTATTATGCGTTGGGCACTGTGCTAATTGCTTTACAATTATTATCATTTGATCCTCACTTTAGTCCAGGGAAGCAGGTGCTACTACTATCCCCACTGAGGATGGATGAGGAAACTGTGGCACACAGAAGGTTAAGTGATTTGCCCAGGGTCACACTGCTGGGAAGGGTCTAATGTCAAATTCGAACTCAGGTTTTCCTGACTCCAGGCCCCCTGCTCTCTCCACTGCACCACCTGGCTGCCCCATTAGTTACTTTGACACTATTTTATCATCTTCCATTGACTGAGTTTGCAGCTCACACATTTTTAAGCCAAGCACCCTAAAAATGGCCAGAATGCCACTAAACGAATCTTAAACATGACAACTTGCCCGGAAGAGGAAAAAACTCCAATGATGCTTTCTCCACAAGTCCCATTTCCCTCTCTATTCTTTAGCATTGAGATAGAAGCCCTCCCTACAAAGAACTGGAAAAGGGGAGTGACTTCACTTTTCAATGCTGGATGCACCACCAGGGGCTGATGGGGGCAATGCCCAGCATCAAGTGCATCCTCATGGAAGGGGAAGATCTAGATCTTGCCTTCTCACAGCCCCCAGCCGCAGCAGGGCAGAACTGTTCCTTCCTTCCAAGACAACGTGACAGCGTCATCTAGACAGGGGCGGGGACGTCTAAACCAATCACGAGGCAGGGGCGGAGTCATCCTCCCCAAAGAGGGCGGAGCTTATGCTGGCGTAATTGGGAGGAGGGCGGGGCTTCCCTCAGTAGTGTCCCCATCTCACCTTAATTCTACTGCCTGGACCCCCCTGCTCCTGGGATGGCATTGGGGGCGCTGCCACGTCGTCCCCCGGTGTTTTTCCGCTCCTCCCTGAGCTGTTGGGCCCTCCCTCTAGCTCGGCTCGCTTCCGAGAGGCCCGGAACGCCGCTAATCGTTGCTCCATGGAACAAACCCCTCGGGAGGCCAGCGCGAGCGTCTTCCTCGTGACCTCTTGACCTCGTTTGGACCTTGTGAGCGCGCGCCGGCTACTCTAGACCCCCTTTTCCAACTTCCGCGCCGACGCACTGACAACTTTCAGGAGCGTAGGCAGTCGAGCGCATGCGCAGAAGGGGAGGACTTGGATGGCTGAGGCTAGAAGGCTGAGCCAGGCTTTTCAAGGTCACGTGGTACCATGAGGCGTGCACTGCCAGTCTAGCCAAAGGACCTTAGTTCGAAACCCAGTCCTTCCAGTGTTCTTGGCAAACTTAAGCTCACCAGCCTTAGTTTCCTCAAGGATCCAGAGCTATAATCCCAAAATCAAATATTACCCTCAGACTTCATATGCAACTCACTATGCTATATGACATATTTGTGTTTTAGACCCTAAGCTTCAAGAAGACAGGTTTCTCTCTCCTGAGATACAGTAGAGCTTAAAATAAATCTTTGTTGAATTCACAGAATGTAGGTGTTAGAATTGGAAGGGACCCCAGGGATCATTTTAGCTAAACTCTGCATTGTACATCTTAAGAAAATGGAGGCCAAGAGAGAAAAGTTAATTTACCTACAGTCACATGACTAATAATGAATTTGTTGGATTAAATACAGACTAGGGATTTCATGCCCTGCCCCCATTCTGGACCTTGATAAGAATGATGTCTTTCCATCAGAGCTGATTGTGGATTGTAGCTGCCTGTGCTACTAAATATAGTCAATTTCCTGGATTCACTCAGCCAGTCAGGAAACCTAATGATAGCATGTCAAGACTGTGATATTCCATGCATATGTTAACTAACTTCTACTTTCCCACCCTCACCAAAAATAATAGGAAATAAAAAAGTAAAAGTACACCCCCCCAATCTCCCATTTAAATTTAAGCTCCTTGAGGGCAGGGACTATTTTTTATTTTTAATTGTATCCCCACCATTTAATTTAATGCCGGATACATAGTAAATGCTTAATAAATACTTGTTGACTGAACTCAAAAATACACATTTGGCTTGGCCCACAAGTCTTCATCTGAAACCACAAAAGACAGCCTCTTTCTTTGCAGAAAGGAGATATATGTAGCTTCTGCTCTTAGCATTTGACCTAATGGAGTTAAAGCACACACCCAAGTCTGCACTAACTCCAATCTCTTCCATAAAAAGGATTATCAACATTTTATGTAGCAGAGGAGCAGGACTTTGATTTATGGAACTGGGAAAAATCTAGAACAGATGGTGTAATAGGATCACTATCTACTAAGGTTGTCTTCTCTCTCCATGATGTGAGTTAGGCTAGTTTTCCCCCCAAAGGTAAAAAAACTGTTCCTGAAACCTGGTTGGGTCAGGGGGCTAAGGCACCTGCCCTGATGCAGCTTCCTGTGTGGCCTTGGGAGGAAGGCAGATGTCTGTTGTTTGGCGTTTGCTTGTAGTAAATTACAGGAAGATAAACAAAGTCATCATTCCCATCACTATAGCTGTTTCTGACCTCATCAATGTTGTAGACCAGGTAGCCCAGGCCCAGGATGAGTGGTAATGGGTAACATTACCCAACCAATGATTTTTTCTCTACCCCTGTGGTTGACTTATTAATAAGAATTAAAGGGAAGCTAGGTGGTGCAGTGGATATGAGTTAGGCACAAGAAACTTCTACTGTTAATTGGAAGTGGTGCATTCAAAATTGTGCTTGCCCCAATTGCTTCTGTCTTAGTAGTATGCTCCGAAAACATGTTGCAATTATGCCAAAGACTGAAGCCTCCACTTCAGGCCTTGGAAATCCTCTTTCCTCTGCTAGCCCAATATGTAACATGCCCCCCCCCAAAAAAAAAACTACCATAAGGTGACATGACATCCTGAGAAATGCCATTTTGCTTGGTTTACCAATGATTTCCAACCTTTATGAGGCACAAGTAACTGGATTTCAGTAGCCACTAACCTGGTAACAGGGATCACCTGTTCTTAGAAACACCTCCCATTGGAGGCTGGATTTGAAAAAGCCTTGAAGGGATGAGGAAGAAAAGGTCTTCATCTTTACTAATTCCTGCACCGACCAAGTGCTTTAGGGCTTAGAAAGAACAGGACTGAACAGTCAAAGGCACACTCACCTTTGGGGTCAGAACCAGTGGAGGAATTTTGTCAGTGCCATCTACTACATATGGTTGTTTGTGGCACCTACCAAAGTTGTGAAATGCTTGCTGATGAATCAAACTACCAGGTCGGAGCTGTTACAAGAACAGCAGAGGTTGGGAAGTGGGACTGTTGCCAATTTGGACATTGGGATGGTGATGTCATGTTGGGCTGGGTGCAGGACTATGTATGTTTCCCCTAACAAAGGCTGAAGTAGATTGTTCCAGTTAGAGTACCCATATAACCAAAATGACCCTCAATCTGTCACCAGCTGGCAAAATGCCCACTGACTCTATCTCAGAGCAAGAGGTTTTATCCTTGCTAGTCAGCAGCTGTCATCAACCAGTCTGCCCAAATCAGAGGTACAACCTCCCAACAGCCACGTCTGTGATGAACCAGTGCCACCGCAGGAAGGAGAAGGGCTCTCTGGTCTAGTGCTATCTCTTGAATCCAATCTCCAGGAAGATTTACCTGATGAGAATGGCCTGTTTTTGGACATAGTTCTGCCTTTCATTGTTCCTTCCCAGCAGAGTTGCCTGGACCTCAAGGTCTTTGCCCTATTAATAATGAGCTCTATATGCTCTGAAGAAGTAGGTCAGGTCCCCCTCAATTTCCAGGCTTCCTTTTCTCTGTGAAGATTTAAGCAATTCTTTCCCAGAGAAGGCTTGGGAGACCAAAGAATGGTACTATTAGTAGGTGACTTCTTTTCTGTTATAACAACATGGAAGAAGTAAAACTATCATTATATAACTGTGTTAAATGTGTATTTACTTGGAAAAAAAAGTTGATCTCCTAGATTGACTTGGCAGTAATTCTGAGTCAAGGGGAGGGAGGGAGAATCCTAGTTTAGACATGGTGGAGGCTGGGGTATAGCTCCTCCTCATAGGCCTCTAGGAAACAAATATTTGGTATCATCCCTGAAATGTGGTTCCCAGAAAGTGAAAGATTTTGAAGAGTGAGGCAGAGGAGACTAAGCAAATAGCAATGCCTCAGAATTAGCTTAAAATCATGGGACATGTTGCATATATCCATGCGCGTGTCCACGTTGCATACAGGAGGCTTATGATCTCGTAGGCACTTTACTACAGATGACCCTGATGGATGATGAAGAATTGAGTGTGCTAGAAATGTCATTATCCATGCTGTGGCTTTGTCCCTGGTGCTGTAGCTGATCTCATATCAAGAGGCCCACTGCAAACCAAAAAGATTGTACATTGCTTACCGCCCACATAGACCAGATCATTGAGACTCAGGATTCAGGTGGCTCTGAGGAGGCCCTGATGGGAAGGAAGCATCACAGTACCTCTGCAAAGGGGAGCAAGGGTGTGCTGAAGCCAGTTCGAACTGCATCCTGAGATGTTAATTGTTCAGTTTTAATTTGTTAAGTTTTCAGCGAGTATTTGCACTTCAGGAATGGGCAAATGCTATAAATCAAAACTTGATTTATTATTCTCATGATTGTCCAGACTTTAGAAAGTGATGCAGAAAATAATAATGCAGCTCGAATTTAAAAGTGCTACGCATAGTGTTTCTTCTGAGAGCTGGTTGATAAACATTCACTAGCAAACAGTAGGCTTAAGTATTAGCCTTCCAAGTGACTATACAAGTAATGATAATTTACTGGATTCTATTCTAATCAGTCTATGATTCTTTTATGCTTATTCCTGTTTCTAAGTAGGAATAAACGACCTGTTCTGTATATGATTCATGTTCATGCATTGTGTACCTTTTTTTACTTTTTCTTCTTGCTGGGGAAAACCTAGATTATTAGCCCATAACCATTTTTTCTGTAATTATCAGCTCTATAAGTAACAAGTTTTCTCCAGAATCTGAAGCAAGGGGTGAACTGTGGGGAGGTAGGTAAAGTCCTTGATAAGCTAATTCCTCTGTTTCAGGAAATCTGAAAGCTATGAACCTCGCATACAAATCACGTGGCTGGGTATAGAGCAAGGTATCCCAAGCCCCTTTGAATCCCAGCAGTAGTTGCTTCTTTCTTCTATACTAAATAAAGAACCAATTTTGCTAATTTATATTATAAATATAAATTATGAGCTGCGTATTCTCACCTGTAAAAAAAAAAATTGGGGAGTTTGATTAGTTAACATTTGATGCCAAAGTCATCTACTGCATCTTGGGCCATCCACAGTTGTCCTGACTTTTGGCTTGACACTGGACTCAGGAAGAAAGAGTGAGGTTGTACAGCTCTGCCTCACTTCAGTCCAAGGCACTTGCAAGTCAAGAGATCACCCTTGATGTCAATGCTCTTCTTAGAAAACGAAGGACAAACAACACCCTTCAAAGTACTAAGATCCTATCCTAACAAAGTACTAACATCCTATCCCCTTGGAGGGGAGAAGGGGCAAGGTGGAAATCAAGCGCATATGATGTAGCATCGAAGAGGAGAACGTAGTCTTAATCTGTGTTCTACCTCTGAGGGCAGGACTAGGGCATTTCATTCAGGCAGATTTCAGCTTAATAAAAGGAAAAACTTCTTAACTGAGAGATCCATCAAAATGAGCCACCTTAATAAAAATTGCAGTCCATGTTTTTGGAAGTATTTAAGTAGAGTGGATAACCAACCATTTCTCCTCCTGGCCCCTATTCCTGGCTTCTGGAATTCAAAATCATGTCCCTACCTTACCCTGGAACTACCCTCAATGCCTCAGAGTCTCCTTGCCCTGGAACATCCAACTATCCCTGAAGTCTTCTCAACTTGGAATGAACATCCCTCTGTTAAGAACTGCTCCCTTCTCTCACTGGTGAGTTCCTTCTTGGAGCCTCCATTTTGTGAGAGGGGCCCAGGCTGGCCTTCTTTCCCTTCCAGGTCCTGATCCTGGCTTTTGGACTTCAAAAGCATACCCCTGCCCTGGATATCTTCACTTCCTACTCCCTTCTCTCTCTCCTTTACCCGTACTTTTTAGCTCTCTTTTGTGTCTTTTCTTGCCCCATTAGAATGTAAGTCTTTGAGAGCAGGGACTTGTCAATCTTTTTTGCTTGTCTTTGTATACAAAGCACT